CCTCAGGCCTTCACAGCACTATTGTCTGTGTCCATGGGTTATGCACATATGCATATAAGTTCTTTGCTTAACCTCTTCCCACCCCTCTCCCCCCTTCCCTCTGAGATTCATCAGTCTGTTGCATGCTTCTGTGCCTCTGGATCTACTTTGTTCATCAGTTTATTTTGTTCATTAGATTCCACATATAAGTGAGATCATGTGTTACTTATCTTTCTTTGACTGGCTTATTTCACTTAGCATAATACTCTCCAGGTCCCTACATGCTGTCCAAAAAGGTAAGATTTTCTGCTTTTTCAGGGCCACATAGTATTCCGTGATGAAATGTCTCACAGCTTTTTAATCCACTCTTCTACTGATGGTCACTTGGGCTGTTTCCAGATCTTAGCTATTGAAAATAATGCTACTAAGAACATAGGGGTGCATATATTCTTTCTGATTGGTGTTTCAGGATTCTTACAACATATTCCCAGAAGTGTAATCACTGGGTCAAAAGGCAGTTCCATTTTTAATTTTTTGAGGAACAGTCTGCATTCCTACCAGCAGTGTACTATGGTTCTCTTTTCTCCACATCCTCACCAACACTTGTTGTTTGTTGATTTGTTGATGGATCTATTCTGACAGGTGTGAAGGGATACCTCATTGTGGTTTTAATTTGCATCTCTCTGATGGTTAGCGACATTGAGCATTTTTTCATATATCTCTTGGCCATCTGTATGTCCTCTTTGGAGAAGTGTCTATTCAGGTCCTTCACCCATTTTTTAATTGGATTGTTCATCTACCTCTTGTTGAGTTGTATGAGTTCTTTGTACTTTTTGGGAAACAGCCCCATATCAGACACATCTTGGGAAATGCGTTCTCCCATACCATGGGTTTCCTTTGTATTTGGGGCCTGATTTCTTTTGCTGTGCAGAAGCTTTGGAGTTCGATGTAGTCCCATTTTTTGAGGACCCTCCATACTGTTTTCCATAGTGGCTGCCCCAGTCTGCGTTCCCACCAGCAGGGCACCAGGGTTCCCCTTTCTCCACACCCTCGCCAGCACATGTCGTTTGTTGATTTGTTGATGGAGCCATTCTGACAGGTGTGAAGTGATACCTCATTGTGGTTTTCATTTGCATCTTCCTGATGATTAACAACCTTGAGCAATTTTTCAAATGTCTCTTGGCCATCTGTATGTCCTCTTTGGAAAAGTGTCTGTTCAGGTCCTTTGCCCATTTTTTAATTGGCTTGTTTGTCTTCCTGGTGTTGAGTTGTTTAAGTTCTTTACATATTTTGGAGATTGACCCCTTATGCCATGTATCATTGGCAAATACGTTCTCCCATGCAGTTGATTCTGAGCGGGTTTTGTGCTGTGCAGAAGCTTTTTAGTTTGATGTAGTCCCATTTGCTTATTTTTTCATTTATTTCCCCTGCCCGAGGAGACATCGGGAAAAATATTGCTCCGAGAGATGCCTGAGATCCTACTGCCTGTGTTTTGTTCTAGGATTTTTATGGTTTCATGACTTACATTTAAGTCTTTTATCCATTTTCAGTTTATTCTTGTGTATGGTGTAAGTTGGTGGTCTAGTTGCATTTTATGCATGTAGCCATCCAATTTTCCCAACACCATTTATTGAAGAGACTGTCTTACACCATTGTGTGCTCTGGCCTCCTTTGTCAAATATCAATTCACAGTATAGGTGCGGGTTGATTCCTGGGCTCTGTTCTGGTCCATTGATCTACATGCCTGTTCTTGTGCCAGTACCAGGCTGTTTTGATTCCGATGGCCTTATAGTATAGTTTAACATCAGGTTTTGTGGTTCCTCCAACTTTGTTCTTCCTTCTCAAAAGGTCCTGAGCAGGGTACCTAATAAGGGCTGCCTGCCTGGCAGTCACGGGACCCAGGGCTGATTTTCCGGGACTGAGGAGGCTAGCCCAGGGAGACCATTTCCATAATGCCTTTCTTCAGCTCCACTGAAGTCAGCAGTGCGAATATTTCATCTTCAGAGGACAAGATGAGCCTGAGGTCCTAGATTCTTCACCACAGTGGAAATTCGGTGGCTCTTGAATCAAAGAACATGAGCTAATGGTCTTACAGAAGCCTTGGGACTCGAGAGTGCCTTAAACATCAAATAAACATCTGTACTCCATGAAATGACCAACTGTGGCTTCCAGAGTCTTCTCTTCAATTTCCAGCCCATAAAATGGGCAAATCCTTTCAAATCAGTAATCAGCAGAGTCAGGAGCAAGCAAAGGCCACAAGGACACCTCATTTTCAATCGTTAAAGAACCCGCTTAAGACACAATACTTTGGTAGGCAACTGAAGGGAGCTGGCTGTTTAATCAGAGACACCAGGATCCTCTCTCTGAAAAGCCACCAATTCTTAGCCTCCAGGGCACATCCTCCCAGAATAAACTGGCTTCTTGAATAAATGCTTTGTAAGCCTGTTTAGAAGCACAAAGACCATGAGCCCGAATCTGGACCTGAGGCTCCATTAAGGATGCAGTCCTTAGGCTGAGGGGCCCCTTCCCAAATGCCTTTGCACTTCCCTTTCAGAAACAAAGGATTGGCGCTCAGAGAGGACAAAGGACCCCACTTAGTGGCAGAGCTGGGGCAAGGACCTAGGACCGGTGCAGGTGGGACCTTTCCACGGTACCACTCTACCTCCCTATTCAGAGTTGTCCAAAGTTGTCCACAACAGCCAGAGAACATGGGTCACAGAAACCACTGTAGTATCTGCTCCTCTATGGTGAAGATGAATTGAATCTGGCTTTTGTCCCATCTCACATCCAGACACTCATTTACGTTCAAGTACATATTTATCATTATCTTCATATTGGCTTCCTTCAGTCATGGCTAGTTAAACAAGTCATAATTTTCCTTGGTAGTGAGTCTGTGTAAAGTCGGGTCTTTGGAAAGTATCTAAACCAAGAGCAAATGAAATGATTCAATGTGCTTATTGTCAAGACTATCGCAGGGGAGGGACACACAAGTGAGGGTGCGGTGTGCTTCTGGCAAAGAGAACAGGGCTGGCAGGAGAGTGAGTCAGTGGAATGCTTTGTTTCTACAGAGCTGAATATATGCCTAGCCCCCAACTCAGTGATGGAAAGGGGAAGTACCAAAGGAGATCCAATTTGGAAATAGGAGGCCAGAAATCTGGGAAAGCACAAGCCCACCAACCTCACTGAAGAAAAGAAATGGGGTATAGAGGAGGCCTCCAGGGAGGCTGAACCCAAGGGTCTGGGGAGGGTGATTTGAGAAGGCAAATNTCTCCAAGGAAGCTGAATCCAAGGGTCTGGGGAAGGTGATTTGAGAAGGCAAATGCAGGTGTCACAAAGTGAGACCATCCTGGGTAGTGAAAAGAGTTCCTATGGAGAAGAAATGGAAACTAAAGTCAATCCTCTTGTGACCTGAGAAGGGTGAGATTTGAGGGCAAACAGAGCTTAATAGAGGGCTCCCCAGCACAGCAGAGGGTGCGGCTGTCCATTCACACANATGTCCATTCACACACCAACACTGTGGGTAACACTATGTCTGAGGTGCTTAGGGTAGCACTGAGGTTGAGGAATGAGAGGAGCACTCCCAACTGTGCTGGAGCACAGCCCTATGTTAGGGACAACTTGATCCAGGGGTAAGAAAATAAGACTCTTTCTTGGGCCCATTTGAGCAGGACCCACCAACCAGGAGGAGCAGCTGGAAGAGACCAAAGTGGAAGCTTGGTGGGAGGCAGTGAAGAGGGGGGCTACCAACTGAGCCTGGGCCAACCACCATCTTCTGGGAGGTACAGTCCTCCAGGAGCCCACCTGACCCAGGTAGTCTTGGTGATAGCCAAGTTAGAACTAACCAGGACCTTGCCCCTGAGCAAATTGGCCATCAACAGGCCTCCCCCAGCTGTAGCGGTGTGAGTGGACATAGGACCGTGACTTCTCAACCCATCCAGTGCCTAGCAACAAGAAACAATGTGCCCGGCAGCAGATGAGCACCCTTCCTTGTAACATGAGCTTTATTTTTCTGTACTTTCTGAAAACAGAGAAACTGGGGGCTCTACACACATCCACTCCCCCACACTTGGCCAGGGCCCACACTCCAGAGCAGTTGAGAGCCAGCTTTGTGACATCACATGACCAGTAATGAGGACTGTGACTTAAGCAGCTGGTTGCCCCACAACCGAGACTCTAGAATTTTCAGGACAGTATATATAGGGCATCCCTGCTGTGACCAAAGGCATTTCTGACCCCAGTGATCAGTGATAGGATCCCTGGTAGCAAATGCTTTTTGATGTAGAGCAGCTCCGTGGCTAGTCAGAGTACTAATGAGATGGGCAAAGCCAGCCTGGCCTCATCAGAGGATGGACATGTGGATCCCAGGGAGGCTTTGGAGACCTTGGTCTCCCACGGGGACCGAGCCAGGAACCACGATCCAAGTCCTCAAGACAACCCACAACCACCAAACCAAGGCATCACCAACGTGGAAGGAAACATTCTTCTGGGACTGTCCTTCCCAAGGAAGCTTTGGAGGATAGTGGAGGATGATTGCTTCACTTCTGTGCACTGGAAAGATGATGGAGACACCGTGATCATTGAGAAAGACCTTTTCCAGAGGGAGGTTCTTTGCCGAAGGGGCAAAGAGAAAATCTTTGAATCAGACAGCCTGAAAAGTTTTATCCGCCTGCTGAACCTACATGGATTCAGCAAAATACGCCCAGGCTACTCTTCCGTTTGCTATCCAGGAAATAACGGGATGGTAAAGTAGAAAGTCCTCCCATTTCCCATGTTCTCTGTTATTCAAACATCTTCCCAGTAGACCAAGAACAATGATATACTGAAAGGGTTTCATTTCAGGGGATAACTCTTTTTCATATGAGACAGTACTTATGGAAAGACGAGAAAGTATAGATTTTTCATAGGAAACTATAACCCCTTAGAGATAATCTGCAGGGATCACTAAAGACTCTGAGAGGCCAGTTAATGTCAAATAGATGTATTTTCTCCCCAAAGGACTAAAATAATTAATTTTGTTTCAGATCTACAGAAACTGTAACTTCCAGAGGGACCAGCCTTGGCTCATCCAGAACATTAAGACACAAGAAAACCAGATGACTTGCACTTGGCCTGAGAGCAGTGCAACACCTCTGAAGAGAACCAAGAGGCTGACCCCAATAAGATACTCCCTGAGACTTCAGCAGAAAGGAGACACCAAAGAAGCCGAGGAAAAGGCCCAGAGGAAACCCCCAAATTCTTGGGAACCCAGTGCCACCCAGTTTTTCAAACACTTGCATCTGCAGCCCACCAGCAGTGCCATGGATATCCAGTGTCCAAGTGAGGCAGGTGGCCCAAGTGGGGAGGGTACATCTGGGCATGACATGCTTGTGCCCACAGCTACTGCCAGAACTGACAGCATGGGGGCTCTGTCCCCCAGGTCCCCAAATTACCCACTACGTGGTCCAGTAAAGTCTTTGTACAACATCTGTTATTCCACCCTCATAGCTAGTCTTTCACTGATGTCTCTACCCCCGTTACCTGAGGAAGAGCAGGAAGTCTCTGTACATTGCTATTGCTCACTCTGTGAGCAGTTCAAGGACAATGCAGGTCCGTAGTCGCAAGTGTCGGAAGACAATCACCACTTTGTAACCATGAATCCATTTTGTTTTTTGAAAAAAGCAAAACTACATGGCAGTAAATAAACAAAGCAATGAGAATTGTGAGTCAGTGTTCTTTTGTTTCCACGCCACACACCTCATCAGATAAGCCCGAGACTAGAAATCCTGGCCTGAGGCAGGCTTTTGTCCCACTGTCCTCTTTCAGTTTCACACACTCTGTCAAAGACCTGGCTAGGGGGTCCTGAGGCAAGCCCAGGAAGATCTGGTCCCCTGAGCCTTGCCTGCTGGTCAGGAGACAGAACTGCAGGGCCCTGACCTTGGGGGAATGACCTGACATTAGTCATGCATCTTGAAACAGGAGGGTCTTTCCTCACAGGCCCCCCTATGTCCCCAGGCTTCTGATCAGCAGCTGAGCATCTCTAGCCCAAGTTCCAGGGGCCTTCCAGGGAGGCCTGCCTAAGACTCGGGCCACCCCATCTGCTAAGTGGCATGGGACGGAGGCAGCCTGCTTCAGAAGAGGGGCCATTACACATTGCTCACAGGGTCGGGGAAGGCGCTGTCTGGAGGGACCTGCTGCTGGAGAGGCTGGGAGGGAACTCCATGCAGATTCAGGCCTTGCTTTGGGAAGGGGAGAAACATGGCTGTGGAGCGATCGCTGCCAAGTGGCAACACCCTGAGCACTGCTCAGACCCCTCCAAGTGTACCCCCAGGACCTTGCTCAGAAGTTTGGGGCTTGTTTTCTTTTAAACCTGCTGGGATGAGGCTGTGGTTTCTATAAGCACCGCATCTTCAAAGGGGCAGCAAGGGACCAAAGAAAGGATCTGTGTGGTATGGCCCTAGACATTTGACCCAGTGATCCCACTTCTAGGAATATATCCTAAGAGTCCCNGCATGGGACGGAGGCAGCCTGCTTCAGAAGAGGGGCCATTACACATTGCTCACAGGGTCGGGGAAGGCGCTGTCTGGAGGGACCTGCTGCTGGAGAGGTGGGACGGAACTCCATGCAGATTCAGGCCTTGCTTTGGGAAGGGGAGAAACATGGCTGTGGAGTGATCGCTGGCAAGTGGCAACGCCCTGAGCACTGCTCAGACCCCTCCAAGTGTACCCCCAGGACCTTGCTCAGAAGTTTGGGGCTTGTTTTCTTTTAAACCTGCTGNGAACCTGTTGGGATGAGGCTGTGGTTTCTGTAAGCAGCACATCTTCAAAGGGGCAGCAAGGGACCAAAGAAAGGATCTGTGTGGTATGGCCCTAGACATTTGACCCAGTGATCCCACTTCTAGGAATATATCCTAAGAGTCCCAACACACTCATCAGAAAGAACTTATGCACCCCTATGTTCATAGCAGCACAATTTACAATAGCTAAGCTCTGGANTATCGGAAAGAACTTATGCATCCCTATATTCATAGCAGCACAATTTACAATAGCTAAGCTCTGGAAACAGCCCAAGTGCCCATCAGCAGATGAGTAGATAAAAATGCTGTTGTACATTTACACCATGGAATACTATGCAGCTGTAAAGAAGAAGTATCTCTTACCCTTTGGGACAGCATGAGGGACCTGAAAAGTATTATGTTAAGTGAAATAAACCAGACAAAGACAAGTATCACATGATCTCTCACTTATAGGTGGAATCTAATGAATAAAATGAACTAACAACCAAAATAGAAACAGAGTTATAGACACAGAGAACAGAATGACAGCTGTCAGACGGCAGGGGAGTTGAGGGGCTGGATGAAAAAGGTGAAGGGATTAAGAAATACAAACTGGCAGTTACAGAATAGCCATGGAGTTGTGGATTACAGAATAGAGAATATAGTCAGTAATATCAAGATAAGTATGTATGGGGCCAGGTGGATACTTGAAGCAGTAGGGGGACCACTCTGTAAAGTACGTGATTTTCTAGTCATTTTATTGTACATCTGAAACTAATACAGAATAATATTGAATTTAAACTGTAATTGAAAAATTAAAACAACTAATTAAAAAGAACTAGTCATCAAAAATAAAGAAGGGTAAATTGGGAAGGCATTAATAAATCTTCAATTTTTCTTGGCTTTTTATTTCAAAGCAAAAGTAAAATTCTGCTCAGAAGTTCATTTTTTCCCATTGGCTCTTTTTTTTTTTTTTAAAATTTGTCTTTATTGTTGAAAATATTACAGATGTT